CCGACGCAGGGCTCGGGCTCAGGAACCATGAGATCATGACCTGAGCCGAAGTCGGACGCTTCACCGACTGAGCCACCCAGGTGCCCCAGGAGTACAGTGTTTTCCAATGTATTTTTCATCTCTTTCCATATAGTTTGCTTTCCCATCTTAAGGGAAGCTTTGGGTGTATAAAAAATTGTGGTTGTTTCTCAGAATGAGGTTCCGGATATGCCTTACCACCTTGCCCATGGGGGAGAAAATACAAGCCCAGAAGGAATCTCTGAAATATGTCTTCTTTAGAAAAGCAAGTGTAAGAGGACAGAGTATCTGCTTTGATACATTATTTATGGTAAACTATCAACAAATGCATATACATTCCCTCGGTAGTCCTAGAGACGGGAAAACATAATTTGTATGTGTATCACGACATTTATTACAAGATAACTCCAAGTTGACTTTTAGAAAAATTCGCATTTAGTTATAAAATTTAAATGTATGCCTCTTTTAAAAACAGTCGTGTACTCTAAGAACATGGATGGACACTGGGTGCTATGAATACGTGGTAAATTCTTAAAGCCTTTGAAGTAGGTTTAGATCATCTTTCGTATTTGTTAATAACAGCAGTGTGTTCGAATAAATGAGTGATATGCTGTCCAACGTTCTTTCTCCAAAGGACTTGGTGAATTTTATTCAAGCAAATTTTAAGAAACGGGAATGTGTCTTCTTTACCAAAGATTCCAAAGCCACGTAAGTGTCTATTTCCCCTCCGTTTTTGCTTCCGGGTTGGAAAATAAATTATTAACAACCATTACAACAAACAAACAAATGCTCACTAGTTCATTATTAAAGTTGTTTTCATCTTGCGATTCTCAGAAATGGTGTGCGAGCAGGAAGAATTTGGCAAGTAGCTCGGACTTGGTCCCTTGAGCGGGTCCCCAAGGGCGGTAGCATTTCGTTTTGTATTTTTAGCTTTGGCAATAGTTGGTAGAGGCTCTAAGAGAGGCTGTCGCCCCCTTCGGTGTTCCCATGAGCCTGGGAGCCCACCTGAGTGGCCGCAGCAATGAAGGCTGTTGTGTTGTAGCTGTTGGCAGGTGACCCCGGGCACGAGCACACGTGGCCATCCGATCGACTCCTCCGTGAGGCTGTTGATGTACGGCCTTCCCATCCAATCGGGGGTTCATCCGCTCCGAGTCTCTAGCGTTTTGTACCATCAAGGCTGGGTTTCCAAACACGGGGAGCAGCCCCCAGCGGCTCTGAGTGCAGGAGGAGGTCCTCGATGAATGTTAGTTAATGAGGGAGGGACTGAATGAGCGGACCCCTGATCTTTCCCATAGAAGATGTGCCCGGACCCAAAGAGACATTTTTCACGCCGCCCACCTCTCATCCTGTCCCTCTGCCTTTCCTCTGTTGCCCGCTGCCGAGAGAAGAAAGAATCTAACTCTTCATTGGTTAGATAGTTGCTGCTGTCGTTTACAATTAAAGCACTGACCTTCTGCGGAACAGAGACAGCGAACAGAGGAAGGATGTAAGAACAAGTAAAAGCAGGTTCGTTGGAACCAGCCCCGCATCGCACCTTGGCTCGGCTGCCCGCTCACCGAGTGACCTTGAGCCAATTATCCTTTTTTTCTGCACCGAATTCTCTGATGCTAAAACGCTAGCAAAGAATTCCTCATGGGTTGCGGTAAGGATTCGATGCTGTGATGCCTCAGGGCATAAAAGGTTCTTCATAAGTGTGTTTTCTTGCTTCGTGTGAATGAGAAAAGGAACATCAGAAAAACTAAGAATCTCTGTTTTGCCACTGGTGTAAACGTATTCCTCGTGAGTCATTTTGATGGGATGTAAACCTCATGAGTCAGCTCTTTATTCCCTGAATGTTTCAATGAAAGATTTTGCTGTTAATATATTTGTTTGATGGGTAGAAAATACAATTTGGATTCATTCATTCACTCAACAAATATTTATTGGGAACCTGCTATATCACAAGGACTTAACATACTTGATCGCTAATTCTACAACCCCCCCCCCCGACCCCGCCCCTTCAAGGTGGCTGCTATCATTCGACAGACAAGGCACATGAGCCCCGAGAGTTCAGTATTTTGCCCAAGGTCCTATGGCCAGTGGGAGATGGATGAAGGACTGAACCCAGGTTTTCTGATTCCTAGCTTGTGTGTTCTTTTTATCCCCTGCTCCCACCCTTTCTAAGAACGACACTGGCTCAGACAGACTGTATTCCTCAACAGTTTCTTAGGTACAGAAGTCCAGTCTAATTGGCTTAAGTCAAAGGGATAGTAATGGGACATTTCGGCTGAAAAGCACAGCCAGAGCCCGAGCTTAATAGCACCAAGACTCTGTCTCTTTTCCACCTGTCGTTTCTATTGTCCTCTGGGTGAGCAGCCTCTTAACAAATGGTGCCAAAACAATCACCATATCTCACAGGTTATCAGCTTACCATTTTGCCAGTGGGGGAAAGAGGGCCTCATTCTTAGCAATTCCACCAGAAATTCTGGACTGATGTCCATGGTTCTTTTTGCCCTGGCTTGGGCCATGTGCCCACCTCTAAACTCATCCCTGGGGCTAGGGAATGGGTGTGTTGATGGGCCAGGCTTGGGTATCGTGTCCACATGGACCCAGGGTGGAGAGGGATGGTTCTTCAAAGGAAAAGCAGGCTGTTCCTACCAGCCAACCAGGAAATGGATGTCACATGGAGAAACCTGTAGTTGCCTACGTTAGAGTGCTTGATGACAGCTTGAATCTTGCAGGAAACAAAGAGGAGCAGTCCCCACCTTCAGCAACACAAGCTGAAGACCAGAACGCCTCAGGGTATTCTGATTCCCTTCTCCTAAGGGCACAAGGTTGTAGACCGAGGTCAAGACCCTAGACTCTTTGAACTTCCCCATCTCTCCATAGATGGTGGGAATACTCTGTGTCATCCAAATTACCCATCGGACAGGGAAATCAAATGAAGCGACTATTGGTATTGATACCCTGAATTTGCTTCCTTCCCCCTCAAACTAACACAGGCTGTCCAAGTCTCCCCAGAGAATTCCTGGGGTTGCTTGTATGTGCTATGCCCAGACTAGTCAAGTCTCTCCACTTTCTTGACTAGTCACTGGAGAGTGAGCCCCAACCATTGCACCCACTGCTGAGCACCCTCCGAAATGTTGCTGCCCTGCTTCTGGGTTGCCTCCTGGCACTTCCGAGACTGTGAGACCCCGATCTGGGTTTGTTCTCTTTAGTTCGCATTGCCTTGGCCATGCTGCATTCTAGGTAGAAGTAAGGAGAACTCTACCTTCTCTGTAGCTGCTCTGTGCAATGGAACTTTCCGCCACGATTGAAATGCCCTATATCTGCACTGCCCATTGCGGTAGTCACTAGCCACAGGTGGCTATTGAGCATTTGAAATGTGGCTAGTATGATCAAAGAATTGAATTTCTTTAGTTTTGATCTTAATTAATTTAAACATAAAATTACATTGCCGCGCGTGGCTAATGGTTGCCTTATTGACCGAGTCGCTCTATAGGTTTCAGACTTGGTCCTAGAGGTAGAACTAGGGTCCTGATGTTCTCCCATCTGCCCCACGCCCCCTCTCCATCACCCCATCCCTCCTGCAGGTATCTGTGCTCCTAATGCCTTTCTGGCCTCCTCTCCATTTGTAAACCAATTCATGCAAATTCCTGCGTAGAGCATTACCAGCCTGCAGACCATCAAAATGGAGCCAGACAACTCTCTCAGCCAAGGTCACCTGAGGCACACACCTCCCCATAGAAGGGAAAAGGGCTTAAGAGTCTGTCTTCAGCTGTAGCCAGGGCAGGTGAGGCAGGGACTTCTCCCCCCCACCCCCCATCCTGCACTGACCTTCGGTGGGTGTGGACAGACCCCAACAGATAGCAAGATGGTAACAGCTAAAGGGAAAGGAGAGGAAGTCAACTTGGACCCTAGTGGGGAGGACTCTGAGACCACTGGGGGGCAGCCTTGACTCAGGAAGTGCCCTGGGACTTAGTAAGAAAAGCACCCAGGAAACTGGGGTCAATTCACTTTTTTTTTGGCCCAATGCGTGATGCCCAGAGAACTGTTCCAAACTGTTCCAAGGCAACATTGCTGCGTGCCTTTGGATCCAGGCTTTACTTAGATTTTTACAGCCCAAGAAAATACTGAAAGTCTGACATATATTTTGAGCACAGAAAATTTCCATCCTCTACAGTAAGGAAAACTTTCAGTTACAAGGAACTCACGCCAGCTTAACCTAAAAGGGTTGGTTTACAGTTGGAAACAGTCATGTCACCCCGAACCCAAGGAAAGGCTTGTCTCAATCCAACCCACGTGGATAGGGTTGAGGAACAGGGACAGCTTCGCTGGGGTCCACATCACATGTGCACTCTCCAGCAGGGACCGCACTGAAGTATCACCATTAGGAGTTCGAGCAGCCTGGGAAGGTTCCTGCTGGGATGTGTCTGTTCCTCATTAGGGATGGTCTTTGTTGTGTGGCTTTGGCAGTTACCCTGGGCTCCCCGTGGTTCAGAAAGGTCTGAGTGACTCATTTCAGGTCACACGGTTGAGGCCAATTGCTTCCAGGTAGTAGAATCTTGGTCCCTATTAGAATCTGTCTGCTTCTGGAGCGATCATAAAACCTCCTCCCCAAACTGGTTTCTGCTCCATCGAACTTTTAGAAGGTGTCACAGAAAAACAAGACCACTATTGTCATTTTGTACAATTGAAATGGGATCTACTGCCACAGAGTGTTTTTAGAATTATTTCTACATTTTGCCATCTGTTAAATAAAGTCATCAGTGAGGAAGACCTTGATAACATTGCCCTTCCTCTGTGACAGCCATGTGACAGTTATGTATGCTTAAGCCCATCTTCCAGAAGGCAAAAAATACCTAGTTTACAAAAATCGCTGAAGAATGATTAAGATACAAATGATTTACAGGAGACTAATCAATGTATCCATTTACTCATTTATTCCTTCATCGTTTGGAGGATATTTGCTGGATGCCCTTATGTGCCAAGAAAGAGAATATAAAATAAACCCTAACAGGTTTTCTCAGGCTTGTATACCTTTATTTGACCCAGCCTGCCCAGGGAATCCTTGCTTCAGAGTCACTACGTATGGTTGCCCAGGTTGTGCGCTGCACAAATGTGCTAGGCGTCACAGGCTCGTGTCTGCCAGAGGGGCATCTTTTCTAGCAGGTTGGTGATTAGGGTGACTGCATACTTTGAGACTTGGAACACTGATAGCACGATGGAGGCTCTGACCCTCCCAGGGCTTGAACAGCAGATATAAAGTGGAATTTTCCTGGGCAGATCGGGACATTTGGCCTCTCACTGGTGGTGGCTCTGTCTTGCCCCATTATCCCTTTCCTCCCCTCTCTGGAAAAGGAGAGCTCTGCCCCTCTGGCTTATTTCAGTGGCCAGACATGGGTCTCCCTTTGCCACTCTCCAGCCTCTTGGGACAGAACTCTGTCCTGCTTCTCCACTGGTCGTGGCTCCTTTGAATTCCGAGTGCCCTCCCGAATCTTGTCCAAAGACTGACGGGAGAAAGAATAGGGGCAGCCCAGTGGGTGGGGCAGGAGAAGGGTGAGCAGTGCCTCGCTAGGGAGCGTTGCTTTGGCCGCGTTGACGTTTTTGTCGTGGTGGTCAGGACGCCACATAGCCCCGGCTACAGGAGCCAAGTAGTCATCGCATTTGTTTATAGATTTTTTTTTAACTGCTTTTTTCCTCTTTTTCTGGTGTCACCACGTCTGCTATTCCTTGATTTGCTCGTATGGCCCCGCCACAGCCTGAAAGTCCCTCGACAGAGTGTGCGCCACTGTTTCTGACCCTCTCGAGCAAGAGGCGGGGAGAAGGACTGTGCTGGGGTAGAGGAGGGGTCCGCTTATTCTGCGCCGCCCCTCACAGCCAGGCTGGCTGTTCCCGAGAGGTCCCCCAAACCGGAGAGCGGGCTTCCCATCCCGTGATTCCCTGGGTGCAGTGAGCTCGCCCCAGGCCTGACTCAAGGCGGACTTTCAATCCTTTACCTCTCACTGCCTATTTTTTCATCCTCCTCCAACTTCGTATGGTCACACGTGTCACTTAGCAAACACGTACATGTTAGTTCCCTTGCACTTTTCATGGGAAGCAATAGTGTTCATGTGTTGCTCAGCTTGTGCTTGTCCAGCCCAAGTGGGGAAAGTCTCCCAAGCAGGTGACATCCAGTATAGACGGGATGGTCTCTCTAAACTGTGGGTTGCTTTGAGCCCCGGCCAGGGGCCCCCTGCCTCCCGGGAGAAGGGCTCACCTTACCTCGGAAAGTCTGGTGCTGCCTCAGAGGCCCGCCTCAGAGCTCCCGCGCGTTGTGAACCACGCAGGAAGGTCAGTCATGGTCTTCAGACTTCCGAGGCTTAATCCTGTAATAACCTCATGGCTGTTTATGCAGAGACAACTCCCTGAGGGCACTCCTCTATCCTAGCTCGCGATCTGGAGCCCGCTTTTTGGTGGATGGATAGCAGACGACAGGACTAAGGCACCAAGGTGGTTTGTAAACAATCAGCCGAGATGATGACTATAGTCTGGAAATAAGACTCGATGGTCAGATCTCTTTGTGCGTTTATTTAAGCTTGTCTTGTGCGGTTTCCTCTAAAAACATGATGAACCCCGTCCAGTAGGCTTAACGAGATCTGTTCCTTCCTTCTCGGTATCATTCCGCTCAGGGAAAACCTGTGTAAGTGTGGCTACACCCAGAGCCAGCACGTGGAAGGCACCCAGATCAACCCAAATGAGAAATGGAATTACAAGAAACACACCAAGGAATTTCCAACGGACGCCTTTGGGGATATTCAGTTTGAGACTCTGGGGAAGAAGGGGAAGGTAAGAGACGGTTCTCTGCTTTAGCTGATTCATATACTAACACAACCAGGGAGGCACCTGGTAACCTTGTAACACAATCCTTGGAGGTACCTCGAATTGTCCAACAGTGTGGAGGCAGGAGGGGACGGGCAGTCAATCCCAAAACGATTGCAGGAAAAGATAAACCTTGTGAAAGTCAAAAAGCCGTGATCACCTTACGTGCGACTGGAAAACTCAGCTGGTGACCGGCTGTCCCTCAGAGGCCCTTCCCCGGGGCACACGGCAGGTGACCTCGGAACATCCACGTGGACCCCCCCGCTGCTGCTGAAGGCCGTTGACCATTTTTGGGAGTTGTCTCATTTAGTGTGGCGCGTGGCATTCTTGAGAAGACATATGGCCCCGAATAGGGTGCCCTGTCCCTCTACACACCCACATGTCAGGCTCTTACAGGGGTGTCACAGCAAGGTTTGAGGCCGGAAAGTGGTACCCTGGGTCTTCTGTGTCCATGGCAGTACCCTCCGTAGGCAGCCTGGAGCCTGGGTCTGGATGCCTCAAACCACCCCCCCCCC